AAAAAAAAAAAAAAAAAAAAAAAAAAAAAGATCATATTTGTGGGGCTTCCCTTGTGGTGCAGTGGTTAAGAATCCGCCTGCCAATGCAGGGGACATGGGTTCGAGACCTGGTCCGGGAAGATCCCACATGCTGCAGAGCAACTAAGCCCTTTCACCACAACTACTGAGCCTGCGCTCTAGAGCCTGCGAGCCACAACTACTGAAGCCTGTGCACCTAGAGCCCGTGCTCCACAACAAGAGAAGCCACCGCAATGAGAAGCCCGTGTACTGCAATAAAGAGTAGCCCCTGCTCTCAGCAACTAGAGAAAACCGGCATGCAGCAGCGAAGGCCCAATGCAGCCAAAAATTAAATAAATGAATAAATAAATTTATAAAAAACAATTTAAAGAAAAAAGAGCATATTTGCTGGGACTTCCTTGGCAGTCCAGTGGTTAAGGGGGCGAGGATTTGATCCCTGGTCGGGGAACTAAGAGCCTACATGCCACTCAGCCAAAAAAAAAAAAAAAAAAAAAAAGAGCATATTTGGGTTGCCTTTAGCATCCAGACCAATGCATTAGGAATACCAATTAACTCTTGGTAATAACTATAGTCAGGATTAGTAGTTATTTCAGCCCTTTAAAAATAACCTTTTGTTCTCACGTGAAACCCCCTGTTTTAATTTTTTTCCATAGCATTTATCACCTGTATCTGTTTGCTTATTGTCTGTCTTCTAGAATGTAAGCTCCATGAGGGCATGGACTTTGTTTTTTTCTTGTTCACTGTTCCCCTTCCAGAACTTAAAATAGTAACTGGTACAGAGTAGAGGTTCAATAAGTATTTACTGGATGAAAGTTCCTATATTAATATATGGGTACTATCCAATTGACTAAAATTTTACTGAGTACCTACTATGTGTCAAGCCCTGTGCTAGTAAGGTGTAGTGACAGAGTGGTTATCATCTATGATTTTACAGAGCTAACAATCACAGATAAAACTTCAGACAATTTTCTACTGAACAGGAATATTTTCTTTATTATTGATAAAATGTTATGTGATTACTTCACTAAGATTCTATACGATTTAGTTCATTTAGTAACACTTTATAACAAAAGTTTACCTTTAAAATGCTGTGCTCTTACCCTAGGATCCCAAATATTTCACAAACTACTTCAATCACTTTTAAAAACCATCCCTGTTACTCCCTATAGGAGAAGCCTACATTTATGGATTAAATGATGTCAGCAATAGTAGAAGATCGAATATTTCCTAACTAATCTCTACTTACAATTTCTCTCAGGCACTCTCCTTTGATACTTTTCCTCATGGTTTCTCTTTAACTAATAATACAGGTAATTTAATCTCCTTTTTTTTAAAAAAAGCTGAACATTTATTCACTGTATATATGTTCATAGAGATGATCAGACCTTTTGAAGAATCACACACCAGTTCCCCTGATCATAGTAGCTTTGCAGTATGCTGATATTATTCAAAGTCTGGCAGGCAGCTTCCATTTCTCCCTCACAGAACACATGGTAGTAACGATGAAACACAGGACCTGGGTCATGGGATCCTAATGGTCCAAATGGCTCAATAGACTTGCCCTTACCAGGATTTTCCTTAAGGTGCCAGGGAACCAGTAAGTCTTGAGAATGAAAAGAAGTCCTATTAGTGTGAATAGGCAACTTGGAATTAGTAACTTTCCTTGAATTATATCCTCTATCCTGAAAGTCATTAATGGAGGGAACAGAAGGTGCTGAATCGTGATTGCCCACATCAGGCATCTGCTTCACAAGCAACTCTTGCACTGATGTATCATTGCTGATTTCCTCTTTCTTTTCTTGGCTAATTCTGTTTTCTCTAAGATACTTGGACTTATTATTATTATATTCTTGTTCCATTGCCCAAACATAGATGAGTGCCTTCCCACCAGGTCTTAGGAGTCGAACAAGTTCTTGGAGAGCTGCCACTCTACGCTCCTAGTTAAAACAAAAAAACAACAAAAAACCATATTGCCATTTATCAATGAGAAAGAGATACAGAGAGGAAACAGGAAAATATAACTGACTATAGGACTACTTTCAATTAAGATGGACAGTACAGAAAATCAAACATGAAACAAATCTTATAGTTAAAAAAAAAGGGGGAATAAAGGAGAATTTTGCTCTGCAATTGAGAGGAAAAAAAGTGTTGATAAAAGGGGAAAACTTTTTTTTCTTTCTGATAATAATACAGAGGCATAGAGGCTTTTCTGCTTTGTTTGAAATTCAGTTGAGATCATAAGATATATTGAAACTGCCAGGAATTCCAGCACAAAGGGATCTATAATGTTATTGCTTAGATTGGGGGAAACGAGTAACACCTAGGAATAATAAGATTTTTTTTCCTATAAGAAAAATATAAAATATTAAATTCACTTATTTTAAAATTAGAAGCAGAGTGACTAATTAAAAGCATCAGCATACTACTACCATATAAATACCTGAGTTTTGAAGAAAAGAACAGGAAAAGAAGAAAAATAGAATGGGAAGAACATGAGACTCAGATGTCAGGAATGAGAGTGAGAGCCGAGAAAGCAAGATGGGAAACGGAAATAAAGAAGAAGCTCAGAGGCTGAGGAGACAGAGAGAATACTCAAGAGGCTTAGAGCTGATGATCTCTTAAAGTCTCTTACAGCTAAATTCTGCGACTCTGTGGGTTTGAGGAAGACATTTAAAGATGAGTAAGACTCAGGTAGGAAAAAGGCAGAGATGTGCAGCAATAAATGCATAGTCTTATCACACCTCTGTTTAAGTAATCACAGCTCCCATGTAACTCATCTCCATTCCACAGGCTTTCTTTAAAAACTGCAGTAAACTGACAAGAAAAGAGAATGGAAAGAAAGGAAAAGCTAAAATGGGGTCCAAATCAGTAAAATCCATGAACATTTCCTGCCACTTAGTTACAAGTTCTTGGAGCAAGAAAGACAATACTTACTGCTGTAGCAAAATGGTGAATAACAGCAATGGAGATGCAAGCATCACAAGACCCACTGCGGACTGGTACTGCCAAAGCATCACAGACAAAGGCCTGATAATGCTTCTCTCTACAAATGTCCACAAGGTTTTGGCTACGATCACAGCCAATCTATAACAGATAAAGAAAGAATTTCAGAACAACTTGTTTAAATGTCATAAAGTTATTAGACAGATTTCATATTCATTGTGAAAGGGTCTAAGACCATGATATTATAGGTTCTTACAACCAGTACAAAGTCAGCTTATATAATTTACAGGGCAGCATTTATTACCTTAACAGGTATCAAACAATTCAAATTAATGAATGGAAACAAAATAACTAGAATAAAAATAACATTGGTGGAAATGGGAGGTCCTAATTGGCATCTAATTAATCACGACCCAGAATCTTGATCTTTTTGTAATATCACACTTTATTTTATTTTATATCTTATCGTATCTTATATTCTGCGCCACACGGCATGTGGGATCTTAGTTCCCTGACCAGGGATCAAACCCACACCCCCTGCAGTGGAAGTGCAGAGTCTTAACCACTGGACCACCAGGGAAGTCCAATATCACACATTTTAAAATGGAAATTATCGCATAAACATAGACATTTAGTCTTTTGGGGGAAGCTACAAATAAAGAGGTTCTAAGGTATCTCTTATTAGTATATAAACTATTCAGTAATGACCCAGATATCAGGAGGATGGCTTATTTTTTTTCCTTCTCCTTTATACTTTTCTCTATGTATTACTTGCACCATCATAAAATAAAATCTTCCCAAATAAAGTTAAATAATTTATTTCATTTTTTAAAGCCATTGAGTCTTGTTCTGCTAAATACCTGAATTCAAAATTTGTAAAATGCTATTGAATTAAACCTTTTGGCATAACCAAACCATTCTATGGGAATGACAACACTGAAGGCAGCTGGCAGCATCCTTTCATCTCCCCAAGCAGCTGAGGCCTAACATGCCTTATGCATATGTCTGGTTCTGTGGCAAGTATTTGTGGGCTAGGACTGCCTATATGCTCTCTAGTTTTGTTGTTGTTTTTGTACACAGTTTTGCTGTTTAGTTCTAAAAATACCATATATAGAGAGAGACAGGAACAAAGACAGAGACAAAGAGAGAGCACACACAAGCACGTGCAATGTGCACATATAAATTGAGGGAGGAATAGGAGGAGCTTAAAGAATGTTAAATCACTAATAATTATCTCCAGATATTTCTTCTTAACCCAATCTCTACAAGAGAGAAAAGATATGTATAAGTAGATTTCATCTAACAGAAGTAGCCACCTCAGGTTCATTTGAATTTTTGCTATAAGTAAGCATTGATCATTGCTAAGGGATCAGGGTTCCCTCAGTCCATCTGAGAATAAAGATATGAATCTTCATGTCAAAACAATTCTTATTAAGTCACACTGCCATGCCAATCATACCTAATATGAATTTGCTCAGTTTCTAATAAATATTAAATAGCTTCGGTATTCCAGCCCACAGCTGCATTAATATCTGAGGTATAATAAAAGGTACCAAGCTAGAGGTAAAGTATAGCAATATCATTTTGGTATAATTTTAAGATGGAAAAGTACTAAGGGCCCATTAATAACAACAGTGGCACAATTCCCACTTAATTGCTCCCTTTACCTGTATAAGATATATAACTGGCTATTACTCTTATTTATTTTCTTCCATATCTTATGCCAATAGTCACAATAGCAAGATGACAGTACCACTCAAACAATATGTATATTATATTTTGGTCTTTGCCAGGTTTTATTACAATAAAATTCAGTTCATGGAAACAGAAGTTTCAAGTATGCCCAACTATTACCTTGCTAAAAGTCAACAAGAAGAAATCCAATGTGCCTATCCCCAGAGATAGAGCTTGACAGTTACTCAGAGGAGGAGAGTTATTATCTGAGGATCACAGATAAAACAGAACAAGGAGAAGAGCAACCGAACAAAAACTAGAGAAAATTTCCTTCTTCTTCCTGCCAGACTCTTACAATTATTTGTACAGAGCACTCCTTTTCACCAACAAATGAAATCAGGGGCAATTTTAGTCATAAAGTACCAGGTCTAATGTAGTCCTGACTCATACCTGGCTCAGTACTTTCACCTTTCACTTATTTTGCCTGAGTCTTCCAAATACTATAGTCAAATCAACAGTATTTTCTTCTCTTCCCTTTCTATTTTTAAATTCCCTTAAGTTTTTATACCAAGGATAGTACCAGATATTTGAAATTCTCCCTAATAATGCTACATAATGTCAAAAACAGGACAGAAAATAGCTTATGTATAAATACTCATTAATGGTAAGGGACTCATGTAAAGCTACATATTTCTGTATGTGGGATGGAGATGAATGACAATAAAAACACATATTGGTTGGGCTTAAAATGTATACTTTATACTTCTATATAATTTTTAAAGTCTTCAACATAATATTAAATATGAAATTCTGGAAGTACTGGTAAAAATGAAAAAGTATCCAACTTAGTAATCAAACTAAACAAGGTTTAACTTTTCTCCTATTAAAGTATCAAAAATATTTTAAAACCAAAGTATACCACAGTGATAGCACTGTGATACAACTTCCTGTCATAAAGTGTTGTTGACAGTACAAATTGGCTAGGCCAATTTTAAAAAGCCATTTGGCAAACCATTTTTTTTTTTTTTTGCAGTACGCAGGCCTCTCACTGTTGTGGCCTCTCCCGTTGCGGAGCACAGGCTCCAGAAGCGTAGGCTCAGCAGCCATGGCTCACGGGCCTAGTCGCTCCGCGGCATGTGGGATCTTCCCGGACCAGGGCACGAACCCGTGTCCCCTGCATCAGCAGGCGGACTCTCACCCGCTGTGCCACCAGGGAAGCCCTGACAAACCATTTTTTAAGAAAGATAAAAATGTTCACAATTTTTCATCCAATAATCATTCTTCAAAAAATTTATCCTAAGAAAATAATCCAAAATATGGAAAAAGGTAAACAGGTTAATGAAATTGCCTTTAATGAATACCCACCATATGTTAAAGCAGATTCTTTATATAAATGTACTTAACTCTTGACAGTGGTGGAAACAAGATGGTGGAGTAGAAGGACTTGAGCTCACCTCCTCTCACAAAAACACTAAAGTCCTCTCAAGAAAACATCAAAATTGCAACTAACTGCTGAACAAAAATCAACAAAAAAGATATTCTACATCCAAGGACAAAGAAGAAGCCACAACGAGACAGTAGGAGGGGCGCATTTGCAGCACAATCAAACCCCATTCCTGCGGGTGGGTGACCCACAAACTGGAAAATTCATCACAAAGTTTCTCCCACGGGAGTGAGAGTTCTGAGCCCCATGTCAGGCTCCCCAGTCTAAGGGCCTGGTGTTGGAAGGAGGAACCCCCAGAGCATTTGGCTTTGAAGGCCAGCAGGGTTTGACTGCAGGAACTCCACAGGACTGGGGGAAACAGAAACTCCACTCTCGGAGGGTGCACACAAAGTTTCACGCACACCGAGACCCAGGGACTCAGAGACTTCATAGGAGCTTGGCCAGAACTACCTGCTGGTCTTGGAATGTATCCTGGAGGGGTGGGGTGGGGTGGCGGCTGTGGCTCACTGTGGGAATAAAAACACTGGTGGCAGAGGTAGAGGTAACAGGGAGTACTCATTGGTGTGAGATCTCCTGGAGGCCGCCATTTTGATACCAAGACCTGGCACCACCCAACAGCCTGTAGGCTCCAGTGCTGGGATGCCTCAGGCCAAACAACCAACAGGGAGGGGACACAGCCCCGCCCATCAGCAGACAGCCTGCCAAAACTCTTCCTGAGCCCACAGCCACCTCTAAACACATCCTTGACATGGCCCTGCCCACCAGAGGGACAAGGCCCAGCTCCACCCACCAGTGGGCAGGCACCAGTCCTGCTGACCAGGAAGCCTGCACAACCCTCTAGACTAGCCTCACCCACCTATAATACTGCAACCTGCAGCCTGCAGCCTGCAATCTACAATCCTGCAGCCTGTAGAACAGAAACTGCAAACACAGAAAGTTAGACAAAGTGAGATGACAGAGAAATATGTTCAACACAAAGGAACAAGATAAAACCCTAGAAGAATAACTAAGTAAAGTGGAGATAGGCAATCTACCTGGAAAAGAATTCAGAGTAATGATAGTAAAGATGATCCAAAATCTGGGGAAAAGAATGGAGGCACAGACTGAGAAGATACTAGAAATATTCAACAAAGATATAAAGAACAAACAGAGGTGAACAATACGATAAGTAAAATGAAAAATACACTAGAAGGAATCGATAGCAGAATAAATGAGGCAGAAGAACAGATAAGCAACTGGAAAGACAGAATGGTGGAATCACTGCCATGGAACAGAATAAAGAAAAAAGAATGAAAATAAATGAGGACAATGTAAGAGACCTCTGGGACAACATTAAATGTATCAACATTTGCATTATAGGGGTTCCAGAAGGAGAAGAGAGAGAGAAAGGACCTGACAAAATTATGGAAGAGATAATAGCTGAAAACTTCCCTGACACGGGAAAGGAAAACATCACCCAAGTACAGGAAGTGCAGAGAGTCCCATACAGGATAAACCCAAGGAGGAAAATGCTGAGACACACATTAATCTACTTGACGAAAATTCAAGACAAAGAGAAAATATTAAAAGCAACAATGGAAAAGCAAAAAATAACATACAAGGGAATCCACATAAAGTTACAGATGATTTTTCAGCAGAAACTCTGCAAGCCAGAAAGGAGTGGCACAATATATTTAAAGTGATGAAAGGGAAAAACCTACAAACAAGAATATTCTACCCATCAAGGCCCCCATTCAGACTTGACAGAGAAATCAAAAGCTTTACAGACAAGCAAAAGCTAAGAAAATTCTGCACCACCAGACCAGTTTTACAACAAATGCTAAAGGAACATCTCTAGGCAGAAAAGAAAAGGCCACAATTAAAAACAAAATTACAAATGGGAAAGCTCACTGGTAAAGGCAAACATACAATAAAGGTAGGAAATCATCCACACGCAAATATGATATCGAAAACCAGCAACTGTGAGGAGAGTACAAATGCAGGATATTGGAAATGCATTGGAAATTAAGAGACCACCAACTTA